CACGGAAGAGAGAAAGTTAGTATGAAAACTATTTAATAGTCAAGTATTCTTGGCAGAAGTGTTGAATTGGAGATCGGAATATCACTAAAAGTTTCTCCATTTTCTTCTCAGACATAACGTAGTTAAACCTATGATTCAACGGTCGTATCCGTCTGTATTGCATTTCAACTAGTTTAATCCTTTTGGTAACATCGTTGGAATGCGATGTGGTTGTGAATGGCCGTGGTGTCAATCCACTAATGTGTCGATAACAGAATGTAATAGATCCTAAATGTCACGCTCTTATCCAAGCGTAATTATTGCAGAAGTAAATTACATTACTAGTTGTTACAGAGCATACTATGTAAACAAGTTATAATGGAGGGGATGGGCGGAATAAAAAGGCCTAATTACAAAATCTTGATATTAATAAAAATTAAAATAACTTACTACTCTTTTTTATTATACATAAATAGGTACAATATCAAATGAATTTATGTAATGCCTTTAAAAAGTTACATGTTATACAATACTTCTCTATTATTAAATATTATTGAATATTACATGAAAAATAATTGCCGGAAAAAAGGCCTAAGTAGAACCGTGCCTCTATTCCGTCTATCCCTTTAATTACAATTGTACAAGCCGTCTAAAAGAAAATGGGAATTTATTATTACAAGGACGATACATTAAAATAAACATTTTTTAACTAGTGTCAAGCTACATCTTTCATTCGATGACATGAAGAAAAAAGAAACGGTTGCAGGATTCAGGGTACTACAAAATTTGTCTCTGAGAGAGAATAAAAAATCAAAACCAAAACTTAAAAAAAAATTTAAGAATGCGATCATGTAAATCGACGAAGAGGAAGTAAAAGAGTGATAAAAGTAATGAAAATGTTTTTTTTTCCTTTTTACGAGGTGACTGAAAGCTCAGAACTGAACGTAGTGTCCTTCATCGACTTCGTATCACAATGCATTTCCGTACTTTGCACGATTAAGTTTTTCAGACACGACTTACCGCGTTTTACGATGGAGTTTACGGCTTTTCAAGCCGCATGAGTTGGTTTACGGTAATTCGGGCGTCGTACGGAGTTGCTCGGATCGAGGCGAATAAGAAGTCGTACGAATTGCGTCGACTTTTCTGCTCCCGCGCTTCGTGAGGGCCGCGCCGCGTTCACAATGGTTTGCAAGAGCGAAACCTTTGGAGGCAAACAAGTGTGCAAGTCGCGGGGGTGTGGTGGTCGGCAGCTTTGCGAGGTGCCCGTAGTTCGGCTGGTGCGCCAGCGGCCAGGTGGGGGTTGAATTGTGCGCGCGGGGGTGAGTGGGGGCTAGAGTGAGCTCGTGAAAATCCATGGTGGGGGTTTCGCAAGCCGCGAAGCAGCAGTGCGTCGCGACTCTAGCTGCCACGCGGTTGTCTATCAAATCTATTATCACTATCGGGGTATCCTTCTTATATTCTCCTTACAACAATCAGTGACCGGTCGTAATTCATCAATTTGGCACATTTTCATCCCTTTCTGCTCTTTTTCTCTCATCCTCTCTCTTTCTCTCTTTTCTCTCCCTCCCTCTCTCTTTCTTTCTTTCCCTCTCTTTCTTATTCTCTTTCTTTCTGTTATTCGCCATCTCTTCTCTCTCTCTCTCTCTCTCTCTCTCTCTCTCTCTCTCTCTTTCTCTCTCTCTTGATAAGCCACCCTATCTTCTACCTCCGAACGTTACCACCATTTGATCCTCGTCATCGTCGCGTTATCAAAGTCACGACTCGTTCGGTGGTATTCTCCTTTGGTCCCCGGTAGCGCGCGTTCATCGCGAGGACTATTTTCGTGACTATCGGTCTTCGTCAACTATCATGATCAGCGAGACGTCGTGCTTCGCTTGAGTGTATCCCGAGGTGTTGCCCGTGAAAACGTGCACCCGCGCCAAGTGAACGCTGGTGCCCCTCTATCGGCAAGTCGCGGCCGGTGCGCGTTTCCCTCGCGCGGCTCACCGTACCCCATTTCAGTGAGTATCCCGAATGAATTCTCTGTCCCACTTGCGCTGCCAGTCGCGCGGGATGCGCGAGTATCCGATACTTTTCCCCGGGTACTTGATCTTCGATCCGAATCCGCTCCCGCCGACCAAATCTGACTTGGACGAGGGTAATTGCGACGGTTCAAGACTTAAAATTACGATAAACCTGACGGTTTTTTATATTTTTTTTCCCAAAAAAAAATGTATCTTCGTTCTCTTGTACAATTGGAGAAACCGAAACTGTCGATATGTTCGACTGGTCCCAGTGTAGCTTACAGTTGTTTGAACGTATCGAATGGTTGAAAAGTCATTTAAAAACGGCTGCAGTAAATTTGTTTTACGAGTACCCCTAGTATATTGGTACTTCAGGCTCGTTCGACATATTCGATATCGAAAGTGTCAAGGCTGTAGATTTTCGCGCACAGCGACGATAGATCTGAAATCTGATCCTTAACTATCGTTGTAATAAATATGCGTTATGTATAATGAGACAAAATTTTTTGATACACTTTTTCCATACTACGCCTTAGATATCATGAGTGTTCGAATGGCTTAACTATTGTATTTGGGTTTATGAAAAAAATGAGATGACGCGTTAGTGCGGTATAATCATAAAATTTATCGCGCTCGTCGGGCAGAATTAATTTGCTGCCACCGGAAAAATTTATTATTTGCACGAGAACGTTATATTATTTGTGAAACATTCGACGGTGGAACTTTATTGCATTCAGAAACTTCATTACAAGATGCATTCTTGATTAATAGACTTGAACACGTAGGTACAACTGGTCGTCTACCAAAGCAATTTATTGATAACAGCTGTTCCTACATATATATATGTACATTTCTTGTTGAGTGATCGATATATCTTGATCAAATATTTCCAGGAAAAGAAACTGTACCAGTTTTCGAAAAATTTACGTATGAAATGAATAAACAAGAGCTGGTAGCTAATAGTGGAAATAATATAGCAAGAATATAAAGTCCCTTTCCAATATCTTTTGGATAATTCGATTCTTAACGAGAAATATTGGGCTATCTATTTAATGAATTAATTGTTCAGCCGTGCTTCAGCAGAAAACGTGATTTCATGAGGCGCGATTTGTGGTAATTAGCTTTAGAGAATATCTTGATTTTGAGAAATTTCTGCAGCCTGTAATAAATGTATTATGTAAAAGAAAAGTTACTTCATCTAAGACAACCATTTATCGGAAAAGTGGACTAACCGACGTCTCCGGAGGTGGGGGATCTTTCGATAGTATCGGTTCATTCTTATGGTGACATACATATTCTCACCTTAATGGAGCGTGCTACAACGATAAGAACGGCTATTTCACTTTACATCCGGTGGCGAGCCGCGAACCAGTTTTTTGTGAGCGCCACTGATTACGTCGAACCGCCTTCATTCGAGAACAACAAATCGATATTTTACGCCCATAGTGTGCCCCTTTTATAGCGTATTTATTTTAGAAAAAAAGACTCCTCCACGCCCAGTTGGTAGTCTCGATACGCGTAGATTGTGAGCTGGAATGAACAAGGTCGAGGATCCAAGTTCTCATAATATATTCATGGAATTAAGGCTTATCTACGATACATCGCGCTATCTCCCTGATATTTTTATCGGTTCTTCCAGTCTCGCCCCCCCCACCCCCCGCCCGCTAAAACAAAGTTATCACTGTTAGGTCTCTGTGATTCGAGAAGATTTGAATAACTAAACAGAAATATTGTCTAGTAGTGCTTAAACGGAGTATTTTGTAGTCATCACAGATACTATTCCTTTTCCGAAATTTGATATCAAGTTTTTCTCTTACAATGAAAATGTCGAGAAAGAGAAATTATTATCTCTTCAATTTCAACATTTGATAATTCGTCGAGTAATTAAATCGCTAATTGAAGTTCTGTTAAAAATAATTTCTATTGAGATATATAAAATATTAACATTTCATTATTTAACAGTTTTTCAGTAATTTTGAAAATGAGTATTTGAAGATCTCAGTTGAATTTTTATATTTTACATACATTTTTATTTTTTTACATACATTTACTTGCTAAATGAAAACCTACTAATTTATTAAACAAAAATCGATTTTAAATGTCAAAGAAATCATTGCATTTGTATTCCAATAAATTTATTATCACTTATACTTAAGATATGAACGGGAAGGAAGTGACGTAATGTTTGATACACAAATGCTGATTATGAGAGCAAAATGCCATTTCCTTAGTTATTAATTTATGTCCTATTATTTTTTCCAAGTACTTTTATCTGTCCTGCTTTCGGCGAACTATAATTTGTGAAAAAATTTCGAATAGAATTTTATTTATAATTTTATATGCTGTGAAAAATATTTTAAGTGAAAAATGTGAAGAATCGAAATACACATCAAAATATATTAAAAAATACACACACATCAAAATGCAATTAAATAAAAAATTATGAATATAAGAATTCTATATTAAAATTCTGATGTAAATTGTAAATCGTCTAAAGTGGATTCTAAAATTAGACACTGCAAAAAGAGAGATTAGTTATTAAACCAAAAAAAGATGAGCAATGTAACACATAGCTGTTTTTAAATAAAATTCTGAATTTTAAATTGAATTTACTTAAAATTTGTGGGTTGGCTATTTCAGTTTTGTATTTAATTAATCAACGTAGTTATTACACTGACATACACTCAGAAGTAAATCGTAGATAATCACGTTTCAATTAACGTAACTCCTATGAGAGGTTGACAATGAGAGAGCCCGTTCGCTTCGTTTTGCGTGGTACGAATGCCTATTTAGTCGAGTGTGCAATTTCGAATGAATATTGTATAGCTGTAAAGCTTACATTATTGGTCAAAATTAATGGTTTGTGAAGTCTTATTAGTCGCCTTGTTCGTGAGTTTGAAATTTTCGTTTGTTATACGAAATGAGACCTCAGAGTCGGTCGGAAGTGCGTTGGTGCTAGGTAAATAATGTTGGCAAACTAGGAGTTTACGAATCCGAAGATCAAAACCACGAAGGGCATTGTTACAATGAGCTATTTGCATTTCTCCGACTTCCATCATTTACGAGTTGTATTACCCTCGCAATTGGGGTGAACGTGTTCAGCAAACATCGTACAGCGACACGGAAGGGTTGCCGTTGACGTATGATGCATAAATACGCAAATCTAAGCCGCCATAGCAAATGAAATTGTTGTGCTGTCGCTCAGGAGAAAATCCGAATAATTGCCATCTTGATATATATTCGGACTAACGTTGCGGAATACTAACGGGAAATTAAGTAGGTAGAGTAAGCAAAGTAATTTGCGCGATTTGAGTGAAAAAGTGCAGAATGATACAGCGTATCTGTGATAAGGGAGGGTGGAGATTAATTATGAACGTAATTACTCCTCTCACCTCAAGTTCTCTCTCTCTCTCTCTCTCTCTCTTTCTCTCTCTCTCTCTCTCTCTCTCTCTCTCGCGCGCGCGCGCGTTATATCAGAACTGATCGCTAAAATATAATCGGCTTTAAATATCTTTCCGTGCTAGGTCGCGTTAACTGTGCAACGCAGGAATATTTTGATCTTTAAGTTAGATTCTCTTATCACAGAGTTTCAAGTTAGGTTCTATTAAATGCACTCAGCGATTACTTATATCGACACGAACGACGTTTTCAACTCGATTTCGAGCGCCGAGCCGCGCCGTCATGCAAATTAAATCGCTCAACCGCAGCCCGCGGAGATGCGTTCTTATTACATTCGCCGGAAATACTGCAAGCCGGCAAATAAATTCGCCGGAATCTCAATTTTGCTGCTTGACTGATTAAACGGATATTATTTTCAGTTTAGGCGAACGTGTCCGGTCTATTTTTGCCGTCTAAACGTTTCTCACTTGCACCTCTTGATGTGCTTCATTGCTATCTGGCCGAATATGCCAGACTATATATATGGATATGGGACTATCCTTTGCGTGATTTTAAGGTTGGAATACGAAAATCGTATCTACAGTCAATATTTATATAAGTCAGATATTTCTCGACTGTTCTCCTCGGCGGAGAATCTTCATTAGACATCGTTACAGTTACCCTCTTAAGCATATTTGGCAAGGCGCTTGATTAATAAAATGAACTCTTTTTCAAATTCTGTCCGCCGTTGATAGGAACAAGCGTATGGTGCATTTTTGAAACTTATTTCTCAAAGCTGGTCCTATAATAAAATAAAATGACGAGATGAAATTAATGAAATTGTAATGAAGAAATAAGATAATGATAAAGGAATTAATAAAATTATTGTATATAATAGAAGGAAAGAGGCATTGTTAGAGACGTATTTCTGATCAAGTATTTTGTGGAGGTACTTTTTGTTTAAGAATATATATATATATATATATATAAATACATATACATATATATATAAATATGAGTATTTGATATGGGAATTGCGGGTATAAGGTGCAATACTGTGTCTCGCTATGCTTACACGCGTTCGGCATAAATTTTACAAACACGTGAAGTAGTAAATGACACGACGGCGCTGCGTGACTGCCAATGGAGGTCACTTTATACATTCACTATAAGACTCGTGCAACAAATAGAGAGTCGCTGTATCTTAAAAAGGACTGTTTTGAGAATATTCACCGGGTGTTCTGCACGCGCGGTTCGTATTGCACGTAACACAGTGCACAGTGTTTCATATTCGCCATACGGGAAACAATATCTTCTATTTTATTTAACATGGCATTTTATTCTTATGTTCAAGTGACAATATCGAGACAAAGAAAATCGTGACATCTTGGCGCAGAACTCGTATATTTCTTTCTAAATTTTTTGGAATAAAATCTCTTTCAAAACGAGTGAAAATTCACTCCAATTCACTTCAGTCGATAATGCTGCCACTCCGAATAGTGACATTTCAATTTTTATAAAGGTGAATGCTCAACTCTAATCATTGTTTCATTTGTTTAAAATGAAACATCAATTTTTGCCCGTATATTCAAAGTGAAGTCTTATTTTTATAAGGCTTTTTTAAATTTATTTTCAGATGCTTTACGAATTAATTTATTAGCTACTGAGCATTCAAAGATAAATTTAAAGAAGCCTTAAATATAAGATCTGACTGTGAATATTGGCATAAATGACTTTAGTATAAGATCTTAATTCTGTAATTCCTAACGACACTCTGGCATTATTACATTGTTGTTGCGCAGCTTTTTACCATATATAATATCGAAGTATTGGAGTCTTAAACTAAAAAAAATATTTAATTTCAGTATCAGGGTTGCCACAGACCTGGAAAACCGGGAAAAATCTGAGAAATTGAAATTGATCACGGGAAACCGGAAAAAATTGGGGGAAAAATGTAAAAAAGTCTAGAATTTCGAAATTTGCTCATAATTTCCTTAAACTACTCTTACTTCCAAATAATTGGTATAATTTTTTAAATATTATATCTGACGTTTATAGTTTAAAACTTGCGCACTTTAAATGATTTTAACAAAACAATAATTCAAATTTATATTTTATTCAGTATTTTTATTTGTCGTAACCCTCTTTTTCATCGTAACTGCATTCTTTTTTTCAAAACTAATTAATTTTTTATTGGCTTGAATTTGCACCCAAAATTTTACTATGCTACTAAACTTTTTTTGCGTTTTTAATAATATAGCTTTCCTACAATCCTTGAGTCTAAATGTTTAAATTTACATATTTTATATTAGTCATGTGGAAAATTTTCCATTTTTATCTGGAAAACTTGGAAAAGTCAGGGAATTTTAAAATTCATTTTCTGTGGCAACTCTGAGTATGCATAGATTCTTATAATGTTTATTTAAAAAAAAACTGTCAACATTTCTATATCCAGCTATAATATATCGACAAATTTTAAAATTGAAGAGTTATGATATCGACTCAACAAAACACAATGTCGGTACGACGATGAGACGACGATTAGTGTGATTTGCTTACTGAATTTTTTCTTGTTTGACGCATGGATTGTTTCCAATTTTATGTTGACATATAGATTCACTTTAATTACGAGTGATAGTAGTCACTGTGTTCACAGACACAGAATGGAAAAATTTACTTTATACGAATGAAAAGTTATTCCATTTTGAGCGATTGAGTAATCACTTTATTTTTCAAGTGAATTTTACTTAAAAAAATTTAGAGAATATGAAGTTGATCAATTTGCGGAGTTTATTTTTTATTCGTCGAGTTTATTCAAGTATCAATACTTAGTGATTGAATATAATTCTCATGAGTTGAACTTTAGGAAGACAATTGAACGATAAGACGAAACTTTTCACTTATTGCTCTAACTTTAAAGAATTTTTACAGCTTCAATCAAATTTCCAATTTTAGATTAATCGAAGATGTAAAATTGAATATTGAATATTGAAAAAGTACGGTAAAGAATAGACTGTGCTCGAGTCGTTTAAAATGTTATATGATGAATTTTCTTATAGCTTCTTTGTCAATATAAAAAAAAGGAGATCGACTTAGCGCAAACTTGTGCATTGTAAAGTTGACCAAGAAGTTTAACCCGGTTTGTTTTCCGTTCATCGAGTCTATCCAGGTGTCGACAATACTGTATAACGATTGAACATGTTTCTCACGAGCTAAGCTTTAGAGAAGCAGTTAAACGATAAGACTAAACTTCTCACTTATAGTGAATTCGGTTGAATGCACTAGTGCGCATTCAATGCACTCAATGCACATTAAAGTCATTGTACACAAACGTGACGTAAAGGTATGTGTTTAATATAAATTTAAAAAATGGGTTGAACCCATTAAATACACTATTGTTGTGATAAAATATGTATTTTATAACTCGAAATATTTATATTTGATTTGAATTAGAAATCAGTGTATGGTTTTAATACGCATCAATCGAATTCTCTGTTAGCTTTAAAGAATAATTAGTTTTAATTAGATTTTGCTTTTAGGATTATTCGTGATGGTATAAGATTGAAGATTGAAATGTTCCGGTAAACAATGAACTCTCCTTCTATTTGAATCATTAAAATTTAATACGATATGCCTACATAAGTCTCTATTCACGAAAAGTTTTTTGCTTATCTAATCTTTCACCCTTACGTCTAAATCCTAACATTGAAAAAAAATTGATCGTGGTAACTGGTGCAAAACTTGTGCATTATAAAGTTGACCAATTAAGAGTTTACTTATAGAATCTATCTAAGCGCCGACTTAGAGATTGAATATGTTTCTCAGTTTAAGCTTTGGAAAGGCAGCTAAACGGGATGAAACTAAACTTCTCACTTAGCTTCGAAGTATCTCTTATACTTCAATCAAATTTCCATTTTAGATCCAGTTGTGAAGGCGTAAGTTTGAAGATTGAAATATTACAATACAATGAAACGATGGACTTTCTCTCTTTACACGTTAAAATTTCATGCGACGAGTCTCTATACACATGTGGCTCTTCTGCGTAGCTAATAATATACTGAACACGTTGGTACATATATTTCGCGACATCGATTCCGAGATCCATTATTATACTGTGTAACGATATAGTGCGAAGTCTTACTTTGTCATCCATCAGCGATGACATTCGCACGTTAGCTTCCGACATACGCCAACGTGTGTACGTATACGTGTTGGCGCGTAACATATATTTTAGCTTCCACATACGGCATTAGGATGTTATCGACAGTGCGGAGTTGTCACGGGGAACGGCCGGAACAATTGAGCTACTTCGCTTAATTGCCGGCCGATCCGTCCGTCCGCAAATGGAATGAAATGGAATATGGAGCATATATCGTGTCACAATCGATATGCGGTTTTACATACGCCACCCGCGCGCTCTTTAGCGCAACACGCCGCGCGAGTATATA